TTTTTTGTGGAACCGGGGATTGAACTCAGGCCCTTGCGCTTGCCAGGGAAGCACTTATTCCACTGAGCCATCTCCCCAGCCCCACTCTGATTTTTTAAATCAAAATTTCATTACCTATTTTATAATGCTTATGAGAGATCCTTACACAGATCCTAGGAAGTGTTACTTCAAAAATACAGTGATATTCAAATATTGAATGAAGCCCTTCAGCTGTTGAAATATTTTCAGAGGTTGATATTCACTTTCATGCATATTCAGGAAAGAGTCCTTGAACTATTTAAGCCAGAATTAGTATGGAGAGGCACAACTTCTGATGTACTCAGTTTCTTCCAGTAGTTCACTTGTTGTTGTGGTTGGGGGCGGGGGCTGGTGGTGGTGGTGGTGATGGTGTTTTGTCACCACTCTAACAGAACTGGTGCTTTCAGTATGGTACCAGATGATCCTCCTTGATGCTTTGTATATGCATAAGGGTTTCTAAAAACTACTTTAAAAATATATTCAGGGTTTTTCTTTTAAATATTTTTGGGCCGGGGATATAGCTCAGTGGCACAGCACCTGCCTGAGTTCCATTCCCAGTACCAAAAAAAAAAATAAAAATAAAAATAAAAATTTACTGAGTAGACAAATGTATTCACACATTTGTGGTAGTAAGTTGGGAGGGTTGTTTTTTTTTTTTTTTTAAAGGATAGGGTCATTAGGTTAAGGGTAAGTTAACAAGGAGTGGACACACAAACATGCAGTTACTTAAGCATTAAATCCTAATAGCACACTAGATTCTGGGGTGAAGGCCAGTATAATATTTTTGGCTTAGGTGCTGGAGTTATGCAAACAGAAGGTACTGCACACCCGGGTTTCATGTCTGAGAAAGTAAACTTGTACATTTTTTTTTTTTATAGGTACAAAAAGGCATTTGAATCTGAGCCAACGCTACAGTCAGGAATTAATTATGCCGTCCTCCTCCTAGCTGCTGGGCACCAGTTTGAGTCTTCCTTTGAGCTTCGGAAAGTTGGTAACTACAGCTTGATATTTTACATGGAAATCAAGACACTAATCCCAAACTTAGTAGAAAGAAAAAGAACCATTAATAAACAGATCCTTTTGCTTTCTACCTGATCTTTCTGGGAAAGAAAAGTTGATTATAACTCTTTGCTTGGTATTTCATGCTATGGTGCACAATTCTGATATTAGGATTAATTTAGTGTTTATTTTACCTCTTTCTGAAAGCCTCAAACTGGTATTGATGATGGGCTTCTCCTTCAGGCTTCATCCCAAATAAGGTCAGTGTTTTGAGGACTATCAGGAATATTTCCAATAGAAGATTATGCTTTCTTAGAATTTTATTTGTTTATTTTTATGTATTTGGTACAGGGTCTCACTATGCAGCTTGGACTCATAGTGATCCTCCTGTTTTCAGCCTGGCCAGCACTAAGATTACAGGCGTGCACCACCATGCCTGGACTCAGTCGCCAGCACAAGGTACCCCCAGGGGTGGCACCAGCGCGACATGCAGGACCGGGGATGGAGCCCTGGTCCCCGCACTTGCCAAAGCAGGTGCTTAGTCCACCGAGTTATCTCACCAGCCCAGAACTTTTTTCTTAAATCCTCTATTTTCTTTTTCTGCTTCTCAAATACACCCACCCCTATGGCGTTAGAGGTGGAGCAACCAAAGGCCCCAGAATCACAAGTCAAGGACAGGCCAGGTAGTGGCTGGTCACCTCCAACAGTATCTCTGCCTTGTGCCCTGATAGGACGTGCTTTATCTCCTTTCTCTGTAGATTCCGTCATACCTGTGACCCTTTTCTGCAACTTAAAGAAATTAGAACATTTTTATGGATGTATTTTTAAATGATTATCCTGGTTTTGGCTTTGTGAACACTTTTTGAAAGCTTTAAGATCCTAGAATATGATCTGTGGTGATCACATTTTGTTCTCTTGAATGTCTAAGCATCATTCTCCTTCACAAAGTCCTTCCAACTCCTGCAGGAGTTATTACTACAGATGTAGATGTCTTTGGCCTCACTTTTTGGAACGGAAAGATAATTGATCTTAATGAAGCTGTGCATTGTAGGAGAAATATTCCCTTTAGTACTTTCAACTGGAAAATAGGTTGTTTCATTTTTCTTCTGAATAATGAATCCTGGGCTTTTTAAACATTGTTTGGGAAGGCTTGGGATGTAAAAAGCGTTAAGATGTAGTGTGTGCATGCAGCAGATCCCCACGGTTTAAATATCACACACCGCAAACATGTACTAAGAGAAAATACAGTGGAAGAAAAAGAAAAAAGTAATAAATTGTTCATACATAACAAGGAAATGTTTGAAGGTAAATAAAGTCTCAGTATAATATTAAGTATTTTTAAAGTACTCAAAAATGGTAAAATACTGCTGAGGAAGTATAGTAGCATTAAAGGCATAAAATTCTATTTAAGAAAAATACATATTTTTACAGTACTGGTGAGTGAATCCGGGGCATTATATCACTAACGTACATCCCCAGTCTTTTGTTTTTTGCAGTGAGACAGCACTCAGTAATTAAGTTGTGTAGGTTGTTGAAATAATTTTTTGACTGATAAATGAAATCAGACAAAAAAACTTGGACAGTTTAGAAACTATAGAGATACTCTGCTGTACACAAAATTCTATGTCATGATCAAAACATCATTGACAAAATTAGCACATGCTAATAATACATGCTGTTGAACTCAAAAGTGAAGTTTTTTTGAAGATATTTGAATGAGTAGGAAAAGTGGTAGCAATAGTTTGAAGATACACTTATTTTCTTAATATTTTTATTTATTTATTTGATACAGGGTCTCGCTACTCAGTTCAGACTCATAGTGATCCTCCTGTCTCAGCCTCCCCGGTGCTGGGATTACAGGCATGTGTTACCACGTCCAGTTTAACTGGCCAGCATGGCATGCAGTACAGGATTTGAACCTGCATCCTTGTGCTTGCCAGACAGGTGCTTAACCCGCCAGGCTATCTCCCCAGTCCTGAAGATACGCTTTTTCTAAACCTTCTTTTAAGTTGAATATAATTAAGACAGCAATCTGAGATCTGAAGAACTATAACATACAAAATAAAGCATTTCATTTTTTTTCTGAGAAAAACTCATGTTGAACAAGCATTTGAATATGTACGATGTTGAATTAAAAATTTTGAAAATTGTGTAACACACAGATTTAAGATGTGACTTGAGAGTGAATTTATAGTTACCATAGGAGCTAAGTTCAAGTTTTCTAAAATACTGTGATATACACTGTAAAATGTATGCCCTTCAAACATTCAATCATAAATTATGCCTATCAAAGTAGGCCAGTGTAAACTTTTATATGGTAAGATAGGGTTAAGTGGATTTTCAAGGAAAGACATGTTGGCTAAATAAATCAGGCTCATACAATTATACTTATAGCGTATAATGAAAACAAAACTAATAACAGTTGGCATATTTTAAAGAAATGCAGTTGCATTCTTTCTTTAAGAACTCTAGTTATATTTTCCAGTAATTTACACCTTTTCCCATCCTTCCTCTTGGCACCTTGTAACATGAAAAATAGCCTAAGTTACTGAGTAGTTATGATAATCAAACATTCCTTTATGAAATTCCTTTAGCTGCTTTTTCAAATCTTGCTTCATTTTTTAAGGGAAAACTTTAAAAATTAAAATGTAATAAGATGAACCCTAAATTTAAAGCTTTCTAAACATACCAAGTTTAAAATCTCTAATGTTAGAAAATCTATTGTCATATCTATTGCCCAAAGATTGTACTAGTCTTTTTGGTAGCAATAATGAAGTAGCTGAGACTAGGCACTACAAAGAAAAGACCTTTATTTCTGTAGTTTTGAAAGCTTGAAGTCCAAGGTTGAGCAACCTCATTGATGTGACTGTATCATATGGTATCAGATACTATCGTGGTGGGAGCTGCTGGGACAGGGAGAGACTCCCTGCGGAGACCGATTTGGGGTTCCAAATGACCCTCATGTAACATTCCACTCTCGCGGGATCTAGCCTCATCCCACAAGAACTACCTTGACCCCTTCCGAGGTCAGCATCTCTGAGGGCCTCACTTCCTCCGCTAGATTCTTCCTCCTGAAGGTTCCCACACTTCCCAGTGCCCCTCCAGCGGGGAGCCAAGCTTCCAACACAAGAGCTTTTGGGAGACACCCTCAGATCACATCTGAACCGCAGCAGACTCTTAATTCTAGCTGCATGTTTATTTAAGGTTATGACTTAATTATTTTGTGGCTCTGTTTTACCCTCTCTGTTTTTGAAGTTTAATTGTTTAGACTATTTAGATCTAGGACTTGAAGACACAAACTACATTTCATGTCTTCTATTTTAGGCTTCATGAGCCTGAAAATTAATATTCAAACTTTAGGGGAATAAAAACTGATTCTTTCATTTTCTGTGGAATATTTCAACTATGAGGCATTTCATGAGAAGCAGAGGCCCCAGTAGGAATGTGGATATAGTAGAACACTGTTTGCAATTAAGACAAGCCACTATTTGGATCTCATTTTCAGTGAGTATTAACAATTATGGAATATAAAAGATTATATTTCTAAATAGAAAAATCCATAGGTCTGTGAAGGTAATGAAGAAAAAATAACCAAAACCAAAACAAAGTCCGTCACTAACCAGGAAAGAAATTCTTTGTCACCTATAGAGGTGGCCAGTGTCTCAAAAACTTAAGAATTATAGGGAAAAGAATGAAGTACTTTTCTTTACTCTTCCTTTTTGGAAGATACTATCATTTCTCCGGTTTATGAAGTACAACTCTTCTTGAATTGTGCTACATAGTGAATTCTTCAAGAGAGTGCATTGTTCAATAGAACATTCATTTGTGAAATAGGAAGTGTGAGGGCTGGCCAAATACCTCAGCAGATTAAAGCACCCACAAGCAGGCTCAGGGCCAGGGATTTAATCCCTGGGCCTGCTGTGCTGACCCCGTCCCTGGGGCACATTGAGACAGCAATTGAGACTGGGCATGGTGACGCATGCCTATAAACCCAGCTCTTGGGAGGCTGTAAACAGGTGGATTACTATGAGTCCAATCTAGTAGTGAGACCCTGAACAACCTGTAGACCCTTCCCTAAAATACAAAAAAAAAAAAAAAAAAAAGAAAAAGAAAGAAAGAAAGAAAGAGAAAAAAATGAAATAGGAAGTGTCATTATTGGGGGGGAAGGAACTAAAAAATAGAGGAGACTGGGCATGGTGGCGCGTGCCTGTAAGCCCAGCTTATTATTTCAAAATAAACCTGAGAGGGACCGTGCTGGCACTTATGCAGACCGGTTCTCTCATACAGACTCTAAAAATCTTTTCTTGACAAGGAGTTATGGCTGTCTGCCAAGGCAAAGCCTGAGAAAGCACAGGGAGCACAGTGGCTGGTCTCAGGAGCAGGACTGAATAAGGGGGGGAGTTAGGGGTGCAGCCGTGCTGGGGACAGCCTACCATGGCGGTGCTGAGATTCCCTTCAGTGATAAAGCCAATAATGATGGTGATGTTAGGCTAGTTGATTCTGGCGCGGATTATTATCAATTGGAACTAAAAGCATTAAGTGAAAATGTTTGGGTTTTTAAAACAGACATCTTAGGTGTACACATGACTGAAGCTGACCCGAGCTTGAGTTTTAGTCACAGAGGAACAATGGTGTCTTGATAAGGTGGGATCCAGCTAACAGTGACACAAGCACATGGCACTGTTTTAAGGGATTATTATTATGAGTGGAATGGCCAGGCATGTGCTTCTTGATCTGGTGAATTGCACAGCATCTCTTGTGAAATACTGTCATCAAAAATGTTTAACTGGAATCTTAAGGTCTAATATCCACTGTTAACGGGGGGGGGGGGTGGCTGAGAGACACTAAGAATAAATATTAAAATCTAGCCATAGTCTTAACTCCATTCCTACAGGATTAATATCTTCATAAGAAAAAGGTTTCATATATCAGAGGCAAAGAGCATAAAACCTCATGCATAAAAGGAATACAGCCATGTAAGGAGAGAGTCAGAGATTAAAACAGCAATGTAGGGGCTGGGGAGATGGCTCAGTAGAATAAGCGCTTGCCTGGCAAGCGCAAGGGCCTGAGTTCAACCCCAGTTCTGCAAAAAAAAAAAAAAAGCAATATTTCTTTTTTTCCTCCATCAGATTGATGAAGATGAATAGGGTGTGGGTGACATAGCGTTGTCAGATGCTCCGAGCAACAGTGCAAACTGTTGTCATGTTTCCTGAGGGCAACTTGGTAGAGTACGTTAACACATAGGGCCAGTGCTCCACCCCAAAAGTCTATGCTCAGCATTTTATACAGAACACACTGAACAAATGTACAAACTTATGTGTACAAAATTATTTAAGGTAATAAATGGGCATCGATTTACATTTGAGTAAATATATTTTGGTACGGCCATGTGCTATAATACCATTTGCCATAACAAAAATAATGCATTTTATCCAAATGCTGAATGGCTGGATGTCGTGATATGTGACAGAATTATGCCAAGGTCACTAACCAAAGCCAAACAGCAACATCAGCAATTTCAAAATGTGAACTTTTATTTTAAAACTATTGTAATTTTAACTATTGAATGCTTCATACTTGCTATTTGAAAGTCTGATAGTTCTGTGCTACACCAGTGTTGGGCTTATTATTCTTTAAGTATGCTATTAAAAAGAAGGTGCGAGGGCTGGGGATATAGCTCAGCAGCATGAGCGCCTGCCTGGCAAGCCCAGAGTCCTAAGTTTGATCCCTGTACAAAGAACAAAACAAAAAAGACTTCTGGTTTGGACTGGAGAGATAGCTCAATGGACTAAAGCACCTGCTTAGGCAAGTTTAGGCAAATGCAGAGACTGCAGTTCAATTCCTGGTACCACATTCCATGCCAGCCCTGCCCCCAGGGTAGGCTGAGCTGGCCACAGAGTCCCAGCATGGTGGCACATGCCTGTAATCCCAGTGCTGGGGAGGCTTGAGAGCAGGAGGATCACCACGAGTCTGAGCTGCGTGGTGAAACCCTACAATAACCAAATATATTTTTAATTAATTAGCTAATTAATGGTGCTTGTTTTCCTGTCTTTGTGTGTGTGTGTGTGTGTGTGTGTGTGTGTGTGTGTATTTTAGGGAAGGGTCTACAAGGTATTCAGGGTCTCACTACCAGATCAGATTTGTAGTGATTCTCCTGTTTTACAGCCTCCCAGGTGCTGGGATTACATGCACGCACCACCATGCCCAGTCTCAACTGCTGACTCAGCACACCCCGGGGACGGGGCTGGCATGGCAGGACTGGGGATTGAACCCCCGGCCCCTGCACCTGCTTTATTAATTAATTAATGGTGCTTGTTTTCCACTGAGGTGGTTGGTAGAGTCATGTGTTTTTAATGTGTTATTTTCTCCTGTACTTCCCTAAGCAGCCATTTAGTCCACTGAGCTATCTTCTCAGCCCTAGAGATTTTTTGTTTTTTGTTTTATTAACAATGAGCTTAAACTGCTGGGAAAGGAACCCAGGGCCTCTTGCTTGCTGTGCTGAATTCCTGAGCTACATTCCTAGTTTGCTTGCTTGCTTTATTTATTTAGCATCAGGATCTTTCTGAGTTGCTGTGACTGGCTTTGTATTTCACATCTTCCTGCCCAGCTTCCTGAGTAGCTGGGATTACAGGCATGGGCCACCATGCCAGTTTAAACTTTGTTAATAATCAGAAATTGAAAGCTATTTTAATCTTACAGGAAGATGAAAGCTTAATTTAGCTTTTTAATGAAAAGTTACCACTGCCTGACATGATGTAGTGTTCTCCTTCCTGTTTATCTTCCAGGGGTGAAGCTAAGTAGTCTTCTTGGTAAAAAGGGAAACTTGGAAAAACTCCAGAGCTACTGGGAAGTTGGATTTTTTCTGGGGGCCAGTGTCCTGGCCAATGACCACCTGAGGGTCATTCAAGCATCTGAAAAGCTTTTCAAACTAAAGACACCAGCATGGTAATAATGCATTCTTATGTGTTCATATAATTAATTTTAATAAGCTGCCTTATATTGTTCTCATGCTTTATTTATTAAACTGACCATTTGATTATTTGTAGAGTAAAATGCAGCAGAAACCTATACAAAAATGTAGTGTTCCCAGAGAGACTCTGTTGACTATAGATTCTAGTCACCTTGGATAGGTGACGTCAGCCATCACTTTGTAACCTTTCCTCCACACTAACTAACTCAGCTTGGCCAGTGTCACCCACATGAGCCACGCAGAGGCCACTCATTTTATGCCTCCAAGTCTAATCCATGTTCGGGGTGAGACTGTATATGTGTTCAGCCTGCTGGCCTTTGCTCCCAGCATCTATTCTTTATTTGCTTTACCACTTACTTAATCTGAGTTTCGGAATCCTCATTCCTGATTTTTCATTTCTTTTTACTTAGAATTTGACAGACACATTTGCATGTTTTCTGTATATGCATGTTACTCTAACTTCATATTATTCTTGGAAATATGTTCCTACACTATCTAGATAGTATTGTAGAGAATAGAATAAAATTTCAGCTGCATTCAGAACCACTTTGAAAAACAATGTGTATTTCATTAGACACCCCACATTATAATTGACCTGCAATTGTGAAGACTTAAAGAGATTAACGAAGACAGAGAGAAGGGCTCTTTCCAGAGCCACTCAGAGCCCAGGCATGCCTGGGCACATCACAGGGGCTATTCAAAGAGACGACCACCATGACAAGACCCTCATGGGTTCCCACATGACTTCCTCATACCCCGGTCTCCTTGAGCCAGTCCTTCCCGGTCTTGTTCTCCCACTGATCTTTCTGAACTACAAGGCTGACCCTTCCCCTCCTCTGAAATCCTTCAGTCGGTATTGTTTAATAATTCTACACAGGCTGAAGCATAAAGTCCATCTCCTTGGCTTGGCAAACAGGGTTTTCTCTGAGTCAGCCCAGCCTCAGCTCTTGTCCTACCCTGAGGTTTGCACTGGCCTCTCTTTATTGTGTATATATGCCAAGCTGTAGTTTTACATTTGTGTAACTCAGCCTCAGCCCAAGGGTGCCTCATTGATCCCTCTGGTCTGCCTTATGAACACTAAAACTCATATCTGCTCATAAAGCAGCCCTTGATCAGAAACCCAAGTCCCTTCCTTCTTGCTTTGGTTGTTCTTTAGTAATGACTCTTGACACTGATTTATTAATTATGTCTCCATCGATATTCATTCGTGGCTTTGCAGTACTTTTTTACATGCGTCTCCATGACCTTCCATGCAGCTTGAGAACAGGGCTGTACTGATGGCATCACGCCCACAGTAGGCATTCAGCAAATGTGAAGTTCATGATCCGATAAATACGTGCATTACACTTAGCCAGAGTTGCTGTATTTTCGACGACTGTTCTGATGGCATTGAAGACGAAAGTGCAGTTATGAAGAGTTTGGTTTTAGGTATGCTGGCTCTGTAAATGAAAAAATAGCTGCCGACTTCCGGGAGCCCCCAGACCCAGTCCTAACCCAGGAATTGCTGCCGACTTCCGGGAACCCCCAGACCCAATCCTAGCCCAGGTCCGCAGCAGGAAGGAGCTGAGCACAGCAGCCAGACCTAAGCCAGACGCAGCTGGATAACTCCAAACTCTGTAGAGCTCCACC